TCCTACAAGAAAAACGTAGTTACTACATAAGCAAAGTAAACAAATATAATTCTAGCAATTCTGATACTAAATCAACTTATTTTTGGTGTAGGAAACACAATCACTTAAGGAATAATTGCCCATTAAACAAAAAGGACTATGAAGAGAAGGGCAAAAGCTTCACGCTAACAACATGAGACATGTCGAGTAGAGAAGAAGTGTCAAAGAGTGGCTTAAGCGATGATGACAAAAAAGTATATCGTTGTCTCATGGCTAGTGTCACGCCCCGCTTCCCAAAATACCCCGGAATCGGAACGTGAACAAGCCCGCGACGTATTAGATTGAGAAGAAATATACACTATTTTTTTCTTTTTCTTTTTCTTTTCTTCTCAATCCAATACGCTAAGCGTCTAGAAATAAATACAATGCGAAGTCACAGGTCCCCGATCACAATCAGCAAGAATATAATAGACAAACTCAAAATAAAAAAATATCATATCACAAATGGAATAACATCCGAGACATAAAATACGGGTCAAACATGCCCTTATACAAACTATCTAAATAAAACACTGGAGAATATAAAATACAATGATCAAGCAGGAAAGGAATTGCTACAAAAGCAAAGTGAAAGAAATAACTAAGCTCGGTTCTTCTTCTGCTCTGTCCGCTAGACACTCCTGCTGAGAATACTCGGCTCTGGCGCATCTCCAAGCTGAACATGTTCTTCCTCTAAGTCTGATGTACACCAAAGAAAATAGGTGTACGTCAGGGTGCATGGCACACGGTAAAACCCCACAAAAGAAAAGAACGAACGAAAACCCAAGCGGAGAATGATATGATAACCAAAACGACAAAAGAATGTGCAACTGGTAATCCAACAAAAAACGACATGCGATAACACTACTAAAACATGATAATCAGAAGAATCCAAAAATCGAACAGGTAATGAGGTCATGCAGCTAGCGATCAGAACAATCATACAAGTCACAAAGTCATACAACTAGATGGAATTAATACTTAAAAATCTACAACTCGAGACGTAGTACGTCGAGCGAAATAATCCAAACAAGGAAACCCTCATGTATATACCATATGTCGCAAATTGTAGATCATTAAATATTAACCCCAATCTATGTATGAAAAGAACACAACTGACCTACATCTCACACGAGAATCCTAATCACCTTATGTAACAAGTCATGTAACTAGCCATTCTATAACAGGTCACTGGTCCACATCTCACACAGAGTCAACATTCATATCACCGGATAACTGACTGTTCATAAATCCTCTACGCGCATCCAATACCGCTACACGAATCGGTCAGAGGACTACACGCAATCCGATTTTGGCCTGGTCCGAACTCAAGCAGAACTCGGGTGACTACACAAATTCACTGACTAAAGTGACTACACGAATTCACTTTAGCCCAACAAACCAACCCCAGTGACTACACGAATTCATTGGCGCGAGCCTGGAAGATACATCAACAGCCTTATCCGATCACATGAACATGGACTTCCCCATCCCAACTCTCTTGTATTTTCTAAGGCAACCATAAACCTCATTGAAACTCGAATTCACCACCTAAACTCAGTCAACACACCCATACATGTCACTAGGTCTGTTCATGACGCACGAGGCCACTAAGTCATGAACTACTAATGGTTCTCAATCACAATAAATAACAATAAAAACAACTGATCATGTACAATAATATCATGACAACCAGGTAATCGAAATTAAGAGTCATAAATTTATGAACGACCAACTATGTAATTTAGAAAAATAATCTTTTTCCAAAATAATTTATTTTAAATTATTGTAATCTTCCTAAAATAATTTACTTCACAAAATAATTTCTTTTAAATCGTCATAATTATCAAAATATAATTCTTTTGACGAAAATAACTTAACAACTCAAAATGACCCCTTTTTCCGAAATAAATACTTTAAAATTATCTATTCTAATAATTATTCAAAACCAACTCATTTTTCCAATTAATCCTTTTCTCATCATAATAATTCTAAAAATAATCTTTAAATATATTTTTTCCTTTAAAAACATCTCAAATAACCACTTTTATACAAAATACTTATTTCTTTAAATTACTTATCTAACATCATTATCAATATGATCATCAACAAGCCCATGCAGTTAATAACAATTCATAATCTAATCTATGCAACTAATTAATGACATATATAAATATGAAGTAACAAATCAAGAGGGGCGGGATCTTGCCTGCGAGGCCGAGGGCTTGACGACGAGCGGCGATGTTTGGGGATGGCGACAACGACGGCGGTTGTCATCACTGAGGGGCTCAACGGGGTGCGACGGGGCTGTTGGCATATCGTCGAACATGTGGCGTGCGATGGAGGCGCTGGTTGGCGACGAGATCGGGAGTGATCGGGAGAGCTTGGAAGCTGTCGTCGGGCTAGTGTTGGGGGCAGCGTGGGCAGCGGCGTGGTGAAGGAAAGCTCGGCGGCGAGGTGCTGGCTGAGGGGAAGGCTCTCGGAGAAGAAGACGATGGCGAGGGGGTGGTTCGTCGGCACGCGTCAGGCCTAAGGTTGCGGTTGCTGTCGACGTGGAGCTCGTCGGAACGCTGGAGGGAGCTGCGAAGGGAGGAGAGCTCGTCGCGGCTGAGGCGTGGGGATGGATATCAGGCGGCTGTCGCTATCGTGTTGGGGTAGACGGAAGGGAAGAAGGCTGACGGGGGAAGGGCAGTCGAGCTCGATGGCAGAGCTCAGGTCGGAGGTTGAAGAAGGAGGGGGGGCAGCGATGGTGCGTCGTGGCATGGGCGTTGGGTTTGCGTCGGCGGTTGGGTTGTACGAGAAGAAGAGAGGGAAGAGGCGATAGGACGAGCAGGGGAAAACTCAGGAGCTCAGGGCTGAGCTCGAGGGAGGAGTTGCGGCAGCTTGGTGGCGGCGACGATTTTTGCGGGTGGTGATGGGGTGGAGGTGGTGGTGGTCGGTGATGATGATGGAGAGAGGAAGAGAGAGACTGAGATGGTGATAGGGGGAGAGAACGAGAGCATGAGTGAGAGAGAGAGAACGTGGGTGAGTGAGAGAGAGGGTGGGCTGATGAATAATAGAGGAGAGAGAGAGAATGAGAGTGGGATTTCTTTTGAGGGGAGAGAGAGAATCACGTGGGTTTTAAGGGAATCAGGGGGAAACACCAGGAGGGAATTGCGGGAAATGAGGAGGAAATTAAGGAGTGATTTAGGGGAAGTGGGGTAGGAGAGAGAGATGAAGAGAGAGATACAGAGTGATATACCGGTGAGAGAGAAAACGCAGGAAAAATACCCCTATATAAAAAATATACAAGAAAAATTATTCAAATAAATATTAAAAATTTATGATCAAAATAATAATAATAACAATAATGAATAATTAATTATTAATTTAAAAAGTTTTACCGAACAGCTAAATTTATAATTAGCAAAACCATTAAAATATTATAATACAGTATTTTTTTAAATCGTAGAAAATTAGGAAAATATAAATACTCTTTTAGAAAATAATATTTAATATTTAAATACTAGAAAATTATTTAAACCAGTATTAAAATTTACGGTCATTACAGCTAGTGAAGGTAATTAGGACAATTTCGAACACAAGAGCTCCGATGATGAGGTATACATAACTTAATGATGGTGGTAAGTATGTTGAGATGCTATGTTAGTTTAAAAACTTGCTGAAAAGTATAAAGTTGTTAAGAAGATGAATTAAAGTTTATAGAAGGATGATAAAATGTTGACTAATAAAATTAAATATTCTTTTTTAGAGTTGAATACATATAACAATGTAACTGAAAATATCTAATTTGAATGTATACAGTGTTCAACGAATAGAGACATGATTTCTGATTTATCCAAGGAACTAACTAAAAAAAGAAGTTAAATTAAAAAATTAGTTGCGAGTGTAAATGAGCTTTTATGTGTGAACTGGTACATGTTGAGGCACGTGAAGTGCGAAGTTCTATTCACATGACTACATGAGTGATTGGGTTCTGATAAAAAAAATTGTTTCCAAATCAAATCAATCGCTGAGGTTGATTAGAGTGTAGACTGATGAATCAAAGATGGATTTTGGCAATCTAAGAGTAAATTCCTAGATTTTGAAGTGTTTTGAACGTGATAGGAGGGTCTCATTTTTAAGATTATGCTCGAAATAGTTAAAAAGTTCTAGGAAGTTCTAATGATGGTGAAGAATAGATCTGATTGCGGATAGGACAAACGAGTATACGAATGATGATACTGGTGTAGAGAATCAGACGTGATTCTAGTAATAGAGTTGTCACCATGCAATTATTTAGAGTCATCAAAAGAGCAAGAGATGGTTGATATGTTTTGCCTCGAGGAGGATAGTTCTACATTAGGTCGACCTTGCAAGTGGTCACGAGCGAGTGAGACACATGGAGATGGCGACATTGGATTGTGGGAGTTCAAGAACAATGAGTGCTCATATTCAGCCTAAGCCAAGCAATGAAGGAGATAGAGGCATCTGGCTCATATGGTGGAGTAGGAGAGGTGGTCCCAAATGAGCGATTCAGGTGGAGCACAAGGACAGCAAGCAAAGGGCTATTGTCGGCTCAATTCGAGGGATGTGCATGTTTGATTTGCTTCTAGTACTATGGCGAACCCCGTATATCCGTGTGTAGTGTCTTCTTAGTATTTATGTGCTTTCATATGAATGATATTTGCTTTATCCTGGAGATTGTAATAATACTTTCCGTGCAGATCTTGATGACCCAGCCTAGTGTTAAAATCCAATTTGCTAACCTTGATCAACAACTAGATTCAAACTGTGAATTCGGCAGAGCGATTGGCTTTCTTCAAGGACTTACTAACTTCTTTAACTCCCAAATTCTACTAATAAAATCCCCTAATTTCATTGGATGCGTATTTGTTTGTTTTCCGTATCTTGTTTTCAAAATAGAAAGGTAACTTCAAAGGTAAATTCTAAGAACAAAATCACCCAAATGCTCATAACAGCAACGTCACCAACCTTTGAAGTTGAAGAAACATCCAAGCATTTGATATTCGAAACCCATCAAGTACACATTTTTCCACTTCAAAAGCAACATTCAACTTAGCGCTAACAACAAGTAGGAGTACTTATTCAAATAGCATGCAAACAAAGTAACCACAACAAGTCTCTTTAATTAGTTGGCAGGAGCCTTCCACTTAGCCTGAAGCATCTTAGCAAACTCCACAAGCCTGTCAATCTCCGGCATCACCTCCTTCACCGCCTCATCAGCACAGAACCGCTCGGCCCACGCAGCCAACAGCGGCGTTTTCTCTACAGTCAATAAGTTGACACCTGTTATGTTCTCGGTGGTCCTGATCCAGCCCAAGTAGCAGCCAAGGGAGATGTCTAGGGATCCGATGCTGTCGCCGCCGAAGAAACCCTTGCCTTTGCTGCAGGTTTTGAAGGCTTCTTCGAGGAATTGGAGGGACGTGTGGGCTTGGGAGACTGCTTCTGCCTTGGCTTCTTCTGTTTGTGAACTCCATGTTGCTCTCATGGAGGGGAAGAACTAGAGCAAGATATGCAAGTAGGAGGCAATTTAGAAAAGCCATCTAATATTTTTTAAGAAAACTAAAATTATATGATGAAGGATTAAGGATATGAAGACTTTATATAAATTTACATGAATTAAAATGTAATCCAACTTGTTTCATTTTTTTTAGTGGAGGTGTTTTATATATTTCCAAATATCAAATGCATTCTTTACGTTTACAAGTTTTCAAAGGAGGTCTCTATTCATAACGCTGCCTCCCTCATCAGCTACATCTTTTTAACAAACTTCGCTAACTTTTGTGACATGTTCATTGAAATGACATGCAAACTTGTAATTTCACTAACTTTTTTGCTAAAATGCGCATGACGTTAATGACACATCAATAGGATGTAATAGAAGTTTGTAAAAAGGACCTACGCTAATGACAAAGATAACATTAAGAACTCTTGCTTATGATTTCCAGATATAAAAGAGCTAGATGATATTTGGATAATACATGAGACACCTCTAATGAAATTTTGGCTAAAAATGAAACAATTTGAATCAATGAATAAACAGCCTTCACACTACGCTTATCATTCTTAAAATATTGTTTAAAGATAAGGATAGCACGATGTTAGATTTAGATGGTCAAAGGCTCAAAAGGCCTAGATAGAGACTTTCATACTTGATAAGCTCATCTATCCTTTTTCAAACCGTTGGTAGCTTCTGTGCAAAAGGTAAAGTTCCATAAGAAAAATACCCATAAACCAAAACCAAAACCAAAAAAGAAAAAAAACAAAGAAAAAAGGGCAAAAAAAAAACTACACGTTCAAATCCATCCAACAAATTCTTCAAAAAGAAAATCCTTATAGTAGAAAAGTAAAATCTGCATGCATACCTTATCATCAATGTACACAGCCCAGAAGCGCGCAACCGCTCGATCGTACGGATCATCAGGCAAAATTGCAGGCTTTCCATCAGCCCAAGCCTCATCGATGTACTCGACAATGATCATAGACTCACAAATAGGCTTCCCGTTGTGAATCATGACAGGCATCTTTTTATATACAGGGTTTGATTTCAGCAGCAAATCACTCTTCACCCCAAAAACCTCCTCCAAAAACTCATACTCAACTCCCTTAAGATTCAGCGCTACCCTTGACCTCATCACGAATGGGCTCGTCCATCGTCCCAGGATCTTCACCTCGTCTGTAGCCATATTTGGGCAGCTTGTAGTTTTGTCGCAGGATTGATGATGATCTTATACAAGTGAAGGTTAGGTTGAGTCTGTGGGCTAGCTAACCAAACACATGGTAGTAGCTGAGGATAGCCAAGTCAACTATTTGACGGGGGAGATCTAAAGAGACATGAACGAAATTGGCCCACGCGATGCCGCTGCATTAGTTTGAAAAACGTCACAATGAGTAATGGTTTAAATACTTGGTGTATCTGGTCACTTAGATAAAATATAATAATGTATACCGAAGTACTCTGAAAATACAGAGTAAGTTTAAAAAATTACTTTATTTAAATCTTTTAGTTGTAAGAGTGATTTTGGAAGTGGGTGGATTGAAAAATAAATGAGGTTTAAACTTTGGTTTATTGATAAATACCGTTTTTTGGATGACAGTAAGTTGAAAAATACTCTGGTGGGTTGGGGGAATGGGGTGGTTTTTTTTTTTTTTTTTTTTAGTGGGGTAAGTTGAAAAATACTCTGGTGGGTTGGGGGAATGGGGTGGTTTTTTTTTTTTTTTTTTTGTGGGTGGCGGGGAGGGGGTGTAAAACTCTAGTTTATAGGTAGAAACCTGAGTTTATAGGTAGAAACCTATCTATAGATTCCCATTGTTGATGTCAGTTATCAAACAGGGGGTTTATGTGTGGATTATGGAGGTGTTAGGATCCTTTGATCTCCTTTGATGGCTGATCCCCCATTAGACTGCTGAGCTTCCTGCAAAACTGCAACATGTTAAAGGAGCGGAGTTGGGTTCTTTGGTGATTCCTCCGATGATCAAGTCAGTAGTTAAGCTTTAGTGGAGAAGTAATATGGAGATATGTATTTTTAGCAAGAGATTGCTTACCTATGTGCTGCAAACAGTCCCTCTATTTATAGTAGGTACAAAGGGGTAATTTTGTAATTTTAGTCGAGTCCAAACAGACTGCTTAGTCAGCAGTTACTTTACATGTGTTGGTTGTGGGTGGCATGAGTCACCATTGTGATCAATATGATGGTGACAGAGGAAGCATGGTGCTGATGGAGTTTGATGAGTGACAATGACTATGGGGGCTATGCATTTAATATGATGGTAATTGGCTGTTGGGGTGGGGCTCGAGGATGACCACTTTCAACCTAGCCTGGGAGAGAGGGGTCGATTCGGCCTGACGAGAAGGGATGACTCAGTCTGGTAAGAAGGGACGCCTCCTCGCGAGAAGGGACGACTCAGCCTAGCGAGAAGGGACGCCTCCTCGCGAGAAGGGACGATTCGGCCTAGCGAGAAGGGATGCATGTCTTGGCCTGGCGAGAAGGGACGACTTGGTCTGACGAGAAGGGACGCCTCCTAGAGAATTGTTGACTCAGTCTGACGAGAAGGGACGACTCGTCCTGGTGAGAAGGGATGCATGTCTCGACCTGGCGAGAAGGGACGCATGTCTCGGCCTGGCGAGAAGGGACGACTAGGATTGGCAAGAAGGGGTAACTCTTCTTATGGTCCGTCTGCATTGAGTTGGGATGTAGTCTGCTTAGGACATGAATCAACAAGTTGAATATAATTAACACTTGTTTATTTCAATGGCACAATACTGGCCCCTTTTGCTCGAACTCAGCTAGCCGAGTCCGAGTGAAATAGAACTTTTTGCCTTTGTAATGAGGATGTCTCGACCTCGTGCCTTGGGTTTACTCACAGTGACACCAAGATCTAGGGGTACATGCCTTGAACTTAGGAAGATGCTAAGGTCTTTATGTCGAAGTCGACCGAGTTGATGACGTGCCTTAGTTTTATCCTAAAAATGTACCAAGGTCTTTGATGTCGAAGGCGACCGAGTTAATGACGTGCTTTGGTTTTACCTTGAAAAGGTACCAAGGTCTTTGGTGTTGAAGGGAACCAAATTAATGGCGTGCCTTGGTTTTACCCAAAAATGTACCAAGGTCTTCAGTGTTAGAGGCAACCGAGTTGATGATGTATCTTAGTTTTACTCTGAAAAGGTACCAAGATCTTTGATGTGTATGCCTTGGATGTAGGAAGATGTCAAGGTCTTTTTATCGATGACGTGCCTTGGTTTTACCCTGAATAGGTACCAAGGTCTCTGAGTCGAGTCGACCGAGTTGATGATGTGTCTTGGTTTTACCCTAAAAAGGCACCAGTATCTTTGGTACATGTATTGGGCTTATCCATGAAAATGATGCCACGATCTTTCGTTTTATCGTTGAATCGACGAAGATCGAGTGGCTGAGACTGCATACAGGTTAGTACACACACAAAAATATCTCTTATTTATGTGTCTTAATTTGACTATATTTTGGGGAGGTATCCTCTAAAATGTTTTACGTTCCATGACAAATTTGCAGGCTTTTTAGCCTTACTCTTCATTTAATCTTAGGTGGAAGTTCTTGATTGCCTGGGCTGGAAGGGATGCTTACCTCAGCCTAGCTGGGAAGGGACATCTGTCTCACCTGGCGGGAAGGGAGGAGCCAACCTGGAGAGATGGGATGACTCCTAATGAGAAGGACGAGAAAGGACACATTTTAACTCAGCTTAGAGAGAAAGGACGAGTCGGTCTGGTGAGGAGGGATGCTTGTCTCGGCCTGACAAGAAGGGACTCCTGCCTCAGTCTGGCGAGAAGGGACGAGTCGACCTGGAGGAAAATGACGACTCAGCCTGGTAACAAGGGACGCCTGTCTCGGTCTGGCAAAAAGGAACGTCTGTCTCAGTCTGACGAGAAGGGTCTCCTACCTCAGCCTGGTGGGAAGGGACGCATGTCTTGGTCTGGAGAGAAGGGCGAGAAAGGATACCTCCTAGCGAGAAAGGACGCCTCCTAACGAGAAGCATCTCATGCCTCAGCCTGTTAGAAAGGAACGTCTCTCTCGACCTGGCGAGAAGAGATGTCTATTCTCAACATGATGGAAAGCGTCTCCTACCTCAGCTTAGTGGGAAGGGATGTATGTCTAAGGGACGATTAGGTCTGGCGAGTAGGAATGCATATCTCGGCCTAGCGAGAACGGATGACTCAGTCTGGCAAGAAGGGACGCCTCCTAGCGAAAAGGGATGACACATATTGCTTTTTTAGTCGACCTTGCAAGTTGTCGACTCAGCCTGGCGAGAAGGGATAACTCGGCTTGATGAGAAGGGATGCATGTCTTGGCCAGGTGAGATGTAAACCGAAGGCACAAGGTCGAGGCATCCCCATTACAAAGGCACGAAGTTCTATTTCACTTGGACTCAGCGATCAAAAGGGGCCAGTGTTGTGCCATAGAAATAAACAAGTGTTAATCACATTTAACTTGTTGACACGTGTCCCAAGCATACTACACCCTAACTCAATACAGACAGACCAAAAGAAGAGTTATCCCTTCTTGCCAGGTTGAGTCGTCCCTTCTCACCTGGCCGAGCCATCCATTCTCGTCAGGCTGAGACAGACATCCCTTATCGCCAAGCCGAGTCGTCCCTTATCATCAAGCCGAGTCAACAATTTATGAGGCCAACTAAAAAGGCGGTACGAGTCATCCCTTGTCCCCAGAAGGTGTCCCTCCTTGGCAGGAAGTGTCCCTTGTCACCATCATATTGATCACAAATGTGACTCATGACCCCCACAACGAACACATGTAAAGTAATTGCTGATTAAACACTATGCTTGGACTTGACCAAAATTACAAAATTGCCTCTCTGTACCTACTATAAATAGAGGGACTGCCTGCAGTGCATGGGTAAGCAATCTCTTACTAAAAAACACACTATCTCCATATTACTTCTCCACTCAAGCTCAAATATTAACTTGATTATCAGAGGAATCATCGTAGAACCCAACTTCGGTCCTCTAACGTGTTGCAGTTTTGCAAGAAGCTCAGCAGTCTATTGGGGGATCAGCCATCAAAGGAGATAAATGGACCCTAATACCTCCATAATCCACATATAAACCCCCTGTTTGATAACTAATATCAACACCCATGACACGGTATTAGTATTAAAAGCACCAACAAAATAATAGTTTAAGCACTTATGCTTAAAATACATCACCTACTTGATCACTTATAACGATAATATAGTCAATTATATTACACCGCGTACCAAAGTCAATTATATTACACCGTGTACCAAAGTCTGAAATAAAAATTAAGTTTTAAACTAATTTTGTAGATTGTTTTCAACTCTAAGAGTAAGTTTGTAACTAGATAAGGTTAGATATAAATAAGGATAAAACTTGGGTAAAAACCCCTTCTTACAAGTGTCCGGAATTAAAAAAATTTGGGCTAAAGCTTTGGGTTTATAAGAATATTTTTGAGCTTGAAAGTCAATGGATTTTAAAATAAAAAGGGTTACACTTTTAGTTTATTAGTGAAACATCCCTAGTAAAACTTGAATGGGGCTACAAAAATAAATTTGGGGTAAGGCCTTTAGTTTATGGGGGAAAAACATCCAATGGAAGCGCGTGGGTTTTAACATAAATGGGGCTTACAATGGGCTCAATTGGGTGGGTTTTAAAATAAATGGCGTTTAACTTTGGGTTTTGTAGGTAAAAACTTGAAAGAAGAAAAAAAGAAAGGAGTTTTAAAAAAAAGACCATTTTTGCTAAATAATTAGCAAAACCGCTATTTTGCTAATTATTTAGCAAAACCGACCTCTTTTTGGCCAATAGGCCTGTTTGCATCAAAAGTTGCTTCCATTGATAATTCTATTGAACTTCGGTCGTTTACAACGAATTACAATGCTTCCATTGATAATTCTATTGAACTTCGGTCGTTTACAACGAATTACAATGAAAAAAATTAGAAAATTACAACTCTTGAGAAACTAACACAGAAGTCGTTTATCGAATCCTGTTTTTGTGGGACTTTGCCTGTGCCGGGAACACTTTGGTTCGTGGATCGCCGAATCACAGATCGTGAAGGGGGTTTACTGATTCTGACTTTGTTTATCGAAGTGAGAACTTGAAACGATATCTTATCAAAGTAAGATAGTCGTTCTTCTTAAAATCAAGTCAAAGCTCAATTTCAAGAAGTTACACGAAAACTTAAATCTGCTCTCTCTGCTCTGAATTGCTCGAAAATATGCTCGACCCTCGTTAGAAGTGACCCTAGGGGGGTATTTATAGCCTCAGGGGTCTGTAACTGAAAA